AATATATATATATATTATAATATATTGCACAGATACTTTTTGAGTACCAGTGCAGATACTTGGCATTTTCATGAGAACTACCAGGGTTGCAGAGGTTGCAGCTGGGACTTGGCTCTGGCCCTCCACCACTGTCCTAAAATCATTGCTCTGTATTATTTTAGAAAAACTGTCACATGACAATAAACAAAAATGTATCAGTACTCGTACTTGTAAGTACTCGGCAAGTACCAGTACTCGTACTTGCCAAACTGGTATCTGTGGATCCCTTTATTTATATTTATAAAAACAAAATCGTACATTAAAACAGAGATGTACAAATCCCAGGAGCTCCGTGTGCTTCTTACAAATGACAGCCGCCTCCTAATTTTTGAATTTTTCTCTAGTGTAGTCTTGGAGCTCAAAAGTATCGGTACATGTACTCGTACTTGTACCGAGTACTGTACTTGGTATCTGTGAAACCCTAATATATAGAAATAATGTGTGTGCTTTAAGCTGCGTCTCAGGCCATTCATTTGGAATTTTGCATTCTGGCGTGCATGAGTTTGTTCTGTAAATGAATGTCTCTGTGATGGTAACTTTTTCATTCAGAATAATTTCATATTTTGTGTGTCTCTTAGCGGTTGTTGGAGCCGGAATCGGAGGAACATCGGCAGCCTATTTCTTACGGCAGAAGTTTGGGAAAGATGTCCAGATTGATATATATGAGAAGGGCGATGTGGGCGGCCGACTGGCTACAATCGAGATGGAAGGGAACCAGTATGAGGCTGGGGGGGCAGTGATCCACCCCTTGAACCTCCATATGAAAATGTTTGTTAAAGAGCTGGGTAAGTCCGTGTACACTAATCTCATTATTGCATGTCTTCCACATCTCCGGATTATTTTTTAACTGGTTTTCAACTAACCAGGACTCTCATCTAACCAGAAAAATAAAATCCCCTGTGTACTGACTGTTCTGCTGATCTGCGGCATGTATTATCCTGGGAACGATCGTGTGTCTATCTGTCTTAATTTGCTTTTGATTACTGCATGTCAATATTAATATTAAGCTAACACAGAGTTTATTATGATATGGTATAATATAGGGAATGGCATTAGTTAGACCTAACTTTCAAGCAACCAGAAACTAAATTTATCCAGAATCTACCAATCCCCGTGGATGCTGGATAACGGGGAGTTTACTGTAGTAATAAACCCTCGCTGTAATATTTTGTTTTTGCTTTAGGTCCACCAAAATGTGAATATAAAATATATACAAAATGTAAACTCTTTATTGTCTTTGATAAGCTTCTTGCTCGAGTCTTTTCAGCTGCGCTTCTCTGAACTTTCAGTTTGAGAGTGCGCACTGTTTGAACGGCCATAGGTTCAGGGACTACATATCCCATGATCCTTTGCACTTTTTTAGATTAAATGCTTGCCTCTATGTCAATCAAAGCCACTAGTGCAGGGGTGGGCAACTCCAGCCCAGCAGCTGTTCATGAACTACAAATCCTGTCGTGCCTCTGCCTCTAGGAGTCATGCCTGTGGTTGTCAGAGTCTTGCAATGCCTCATGCGACTTGCAGTTTGGAGATTGTACAGTCAGATTGTAACGTGGTGGCCTTTAGAAGATGGTAATGGTCCTGGCTTGACACACAGCCTTCTAATGCCCCTGCGCACGTTGGCACCACAGAATGGAGTCTCGGCCAAGGGCGTGCACATAAACAGGCTAGCTAATGACTATAGAATCCATCATTCAGCAACAGAGTGGACATGATGGGGAACTAGTACCTCTGCATTCCCATCTGTCAGGGTACCGTGCGTGGATGACCAAATTAGTATGACCACACTAGATAAGGTTATAGGCACACAGTTTATTAAACGGCAACACAAAAACCCCACCAACCCCCACAAGTATCAAACAATACCTCAGGAAATACAAACAGGGTATACAAGCCAGGTAAACCCAGGGAGCCGGGCAAGACCAGGGGAGCTGGGTCAGGGTGCAGGCAGGTAACGGGATACTGCAAGTAGATAACAGGGCTCTGGACACAGGACTCAAGCTGGGACAAAGGGTCAGGGTGCAGGCAGGTAACAGGGCTCTGGACACAGGACTCAAGCTGGGACAAAGGGTCAGGGTGCAGACAGGTAACAGGATACTGCAAGCGGATAACAGGGCTCTGGACACAGGACTCAAGCTGGGACAAAGGGCTTGAGTCCTGTGTCCAGTTCCAGGACAGTGGCAGGGTGCAGGCAGGTAACAGGGCTCAGGATACAGGACTCAGTCAGGGAAAGGTGACAGGATACTGAGCCACAGTCCTGACTGCAGGGAGGGATTAAGTACCCTCCTGGGAAGCACCAGGTCGTGGATAATCGCTGGCAGCTGGGAGACACCTGCTGGTCAGCACCGGAGTCGCAGGTTCCAGCACCACCCAGCGGTGGTCTAGTACCTGACAGTTCCTGGCTGCCTGGAGACACCTGCAGGCGAGCACAGGAACTGGAGGACCGGGCTCCAGCGCCACCTGGAGGTGCTCTGGATCCTGACACCATCAGGCTCCGCTAACACACTGTAGGAGTCCTGGGCCACTGCTCCTGTTTGTGTGGCAAGTTCAGTGGCAGGGCAGACAGCTCAGTAATGCTGAGCCTGTAATTTTATCAGGCTCAACGTTTCTAAGCTGTAGTAAGGATGGACCATCCGGTAAGGCCGCTCCAGCCTGAGTGCGTCTCCACACCGCAAATGTAGGGCTGCAACAACTAATCGACATAATCGATTATAATCGATTATTGAAAAAGTTGTCAACTTTTTCAATAATCGATTAATCGGCTTCCGATCAGTTGGCCCTGTTCACAGCTCCACACGCTGTGCGCCGCACCTCCTCCCCACCTCACGCTCGCCGCTGCCAGACCCGCCTGCCCGCATCCACACGCCGCACCTCGTCCCCGCCTCACACTCACCGCCCACCCACATAAACGATCGGCACAGGGACGCACAGGGAGATGTAGTAAGGAGGAGCAGGGGTGGGGTGATGACAGCCGCAGATAAACAGGTCCGATCTCAGAAGCAAGTTGCTGGAAGACTGCTCAGGTTAGCTTTTCCACACGTGGTGCTCTATAATGTATTGCTGGGATTTGTATTCCTCTATAGCTGATGGTACATTGTACTGTATATTATACATATGAATACAAATCCCAGCAATACATTATACACTGTATGTATAATGTATTGCTGGGATTTGTTGTACTCCTATATAGCTGGTGGTATTCTGCATTGCGTTGTATAGGGGAATACAAATCCCAGCAATAATATATTATACAGCGCAATGTGGAATACCACCAGCTATAGAAGAGTACAACAAATCCCAGCAATAATACATTATACAGTGGTGCAATGCTGAATACCACTAGCTATAGAGGACTACAAAATCCAGCAATAGTACATTATACAGCGCAATGCAGAATGCCGCCAGCTATTATGTACTATTGCTGGGATTTGTTGCAGTCCTCTATAGCTGATGGTATTCTGCATTCATTGCTGTATAATTTTACACTTTCCATTTCACTATATTGCACACCACACTATCTTTTTTCTTTTTTACTTCCACCGCTCCAAGCTTGCTCCTGTGATGGACTACAATCTCAATACAAACTAGTAGCCCATCACTGGAGCCTTTTTTGAACTCTATTTTATGGTTTATCCGATTAACCGATTAATCGAACCTAATAATCGACTAACCGATTTTGAAAATAATCGTTAGCTGCAGCTCTACGCAAATGCGTCGCGTATTGCGTTTCGCTTACTTGGTGCCTTTTGCCCATAGCATCCAATCAACATTTATTTAATTTTCTTCAAACCGCTTAGAAAATGGAAATCAAAAAGCTGATTGGATCCAACAGTTTTTCTCAGACACTCAGGGGTGTGGAAAATTAAAAATAAACTACTTGTCCAAGGCCTAAAGGGCTAACAAGCCCCTCTGTGATAGCATTTGGAGGTGCAGGTTCTCTTTGTGGAGCCTGCCCTCCAATACAGAATACAGCATTGTGCTCGATCTTCTGTACAGCCCGGGTCGTGACTGCTGAGACAGGAAGCTCTGTGTGTACAGCGCTCCTGTTTCACTGATCACACAAAGCAGATCGGAGAACGGACGTTCTCTGGTCTGCTCCGAGCCCTCCATCTTGGCGATGGGGACGGACAGGCAGGCTGCGGCAAGTAATCTGAAAGGCTGTATAGCCACCCAGATCACTTGTACAATAGGAGCGGCAGTTTCCCCGCTCTGCGTTTAGCCCTACTTGTCCTCAGTAGGGATATAGATCTATAGATATTATAAAAAACACTTGCCCCGGCGCCTGGAACAGCATGTCTCGGGCATCGGGCGATATGAATCCTACACCCCCTGTGACACTTCATTAAAATGTATCTAAACCCCCCCAAAATGTAATATATTGCAGATCTATTCTTTTATGTAGTGGCTGCATTAGTTTTTTTTCCCTTTATTTTCACCTGGTGATCTGGCCAGTAAGTCTGTTATTTTTCACTTCCATAAACAGGCCAATCTGTCCAGCAAAAGTGCCTCACGGAGGGTTGAGACAAACCATTTACCACTGTAAGTCAAGTCCATCTAAATCTGCTTGTCCATCTAACGCCACCCTCCCCATAGGGTGACATTGCTGATGTCCAAGGTTTGCTCCATTGCCCCTCCATAGAGTAGAGCCACCCTAAGACATGAAGAGTATTACTGGATCACCAGGTGAAAATAAAGGTAAAAAAAGCCTTTAAAAAAAAAAAGCAAACTAATGCGGCTAACACATATATATATAAGGATTGGTAAGCTGCAATATAGTAAACTTTTGATTTGGAATTTAGATATCCATTCATTTCCCCTGCAGTGTGAATTATACCATTTAAAATCATTATTTGGATTTACTGTATTTTTCAGTGTATAAGACTGTACTTTTTCTTAAAAATATTTACCTAAAAATGGAGGGGCGTCTTATACACGGGGGGCCGAGAGGAGAAGCGCGGTTGCAAAACTGCCGATACCTCTGCAAACTAGCCTCACGAGTGAAACTTCCGATTGCAGAGACAAGCTAACAGGTTTCCTCCAATCATGAGCCTTATGTACCCGACGTCAGCTGATGCTGCGAAGAGCGTGTAGCCAGTGCCCAGATGCAACAGGGAGCCCATAAAAATTTCAGAAAACAAAAAAAATCCAGGTAAATACCAATACCAGGAAGCGGCTGTCTTACTCTGCAAAATGTAAACTGGAAGTTATCAGTTATGCAAAAAAAGCATGGAAAATATTGATTTCTGAATTTTTGTTAAGAAAAGCGGGGGGCGTCCTATACATGGGGCGTCTTTATAGATGGAAAAATACGGTATATGCCTTTAGAAATGTCCTATAAATGCATATAATCACATGACCGTATGAATGAGGCCTAATATCACTGAAAGGTGCCAGAAGACCAGCAAGCTGTACGACATAACAAATGCTACTCCTGCTGCAATGAATCATGTTAGGTATACTGTGTAATTTGTGTATTTTGTCCTGAAATGTGTGCGTGGTTTCCTGAGATATGTTGACTATCGAGCAGAGTTGTGTACATTTTTATTCATTTGTCTACACAAGTATGTTTTTAGTGACGTGTAGTAATTACCACCAGGTTATCAGGTTGCACCAGCTTCACCACTGCTCCCTAAGGGACTCCATTATAAAAGCTGATCTTAAACAAAAGAGCATATTTAGAGTGGTCTACAATACATCCTGATATGGAATCATCTTACATCCGTTAGGGGAAACAAACATTTTTTTGCTTTTATTTACAGATATTGTTTCACCACTTCCTGGTTGAATGAGGCACTGGTGATGTATCCCTGGCCTCACAGATGCATCCTGGGAAGGTTACATCTCCAGTGCTTTCCTGACGGTCACACGTTCCAGAGTTCCAGGAACTAAAGGGAGATGACTTGATCTGTCCTTCATGAAAAAGGCCAACAGTAATAAGAGTAAAAAGCTGGAAATTATCTACAAGTATGTGTTTGTAGATTGTCATCACCAAACATTTCTACATGTGTATTTGTTGTCATTTTTAAGATAAGGGTGAGGCTCCTCCTTGAGGGCCGGTTCACACCACAAGGAGTGCGTTCCAGAGCGTTCGGCCTCTGGGTACACAATCCGGCCGGCACCCTCCGGTCCAGTGCGATCTGCAAAAATATGCTACGCGTTCAGGTGCCATGCCCCTGAACCCAGGGAGCCGGCCAGTTTGCCTTCCAGAGGCCGAATGCTCTGGAACGCATTCTTTGTGGTGTGAACCTGCCCCAAAGACTCAATATACTGCATCGCATCGTACTGCAGTTCATAGAAATGAATGAAATCTCCTTCTGTGACATTTCAGTAGTTAGGAAAAAAGGAAACCGTGTGATGCGTCATAATAAGGCAACACATGTCCCTACACAACAATAAACAGTGGGCATGTGTTATGCACAGCATAATGCGCGTCTGCTGGTGTCAATGGGCCCTTAAAGGGCAACTTCACTTCTAGTGTAATTGTCCCTTCCAGCTCACTCTCTTCTCATTGTAACCCACAGAGCAGAATATTTGCCTTTGGCCGCGCTCAGGAGATCTGGTTATAGGAATAAGTTAGGCCGGGACATGAGTGCGTAATTGGCACAGGACCCAACCAGGATTATTTTCAAGCAAAGGCGGTGTGGCGCCATTATTGTATAATATGAGGACCTACCTAGACTATCCCATTTATTTGTGTCCAGTCAGGCAGGTCTTTGCACCACATACATGTTGGGAGATCTAAAGGCGATTGTACAATCAGGTTGTAAGGTGTTGTGAGCTTTAACCAGTACATCAGCCCTGTTTACCAATCAGGCCTCTACTGCATTGTACAGTGCTGTCCATGCTTGCAGGAGGGACGATCACAGCAAAGACATCATCAATGTGGTGCTACTCCTTTATTTATTTTTTGCAGTCTGTGACAGAGGTGTCCTAAGCTGTATTCCTTAACTGGAGGGCAGAAAAGTGGGGCCACCCTCCTGGCTATGCTGCCTGGATCAGAGAACTCGCAGAACAGAATTGCAAATCCATTGCTGGGACAAGTAAAACAATTGACATACCATTTTGTCAGCTCCGTTTTACAATGACTGCACTATGACAACTTGCTTCCTGCAGACATTCCCATGAGCTCTACATGTGTTACAGGTCTGAGTGCCCGCACGCCTTCTGGAGATCTGCTGGGAATTTACAATGGGGACGAGTTTGTTTTTGAAGAGAGTGAATGGTACATCATCAATCTTATCAAAATGCTGTGGAATTATGGACTGAACTTCCTGCGCATGTACATGTGGGTGGAAGATATTTTGGACAAGTTCATGAGGTACGTGGTGGTAATATTTGTACTTTTAGTTTCTCCTCCTTGTTACTGGAAGATCTGGGTACATGACTGTGATGTATTCTGGTGTCGGGGGAATAACGTACTGTACTCTTCCATGTAGATTTTGGTAGGCCTATACACAGCGCTGCTGTTTTATTTTGGATTCTGTAGTTACATTGTGCTTAAAAGGTGGGTCAGGGCTCAGTATTTCTTGGTCTTTAAAGAAGCTGGCAGAGGAGATGAGGGAAGGCACAGGGCTGCATGGTGGAGCTGAAAATGTTCCATCTGGACCCCTGACATCGATGGGGGTTGTGCGGGCACTCCTATGTACACTGCTATGCCCAGCAGAGGAGGGAGCAAAGGGCTATACAGGGGGAGGTGACTTCAGTGCTGGCTGTAGTTCCCAATAGGAACACTTTGAACTGCCCTATCGCACTAACCCGTCCCCTAAAGTGCTCCGTTTTAGGCTAGTGTGTCCTGACAGGTATGGTGGGTGTACGGTGTGTGGTCTCTCCCTAGCCTGGGGTGGAGCTACAGTCAGTGCTGACCCAAAATTTAAATTGCATTTGTAAACTCCTGTGCAGATTTGAATGGGGCCAAGTGTGACATGCACTAGGTCCCCCTTGGGGGTTTAACCAGCATTTTAATTCATGTTAACAGGAAACGCTAAAAAGCAATTTTTCACTGGCTTACCTCCAGCTATATCTGAGACTTAAGGATAAAATCAGCACACTTCCGTTTCTCTTATGGAGTACCTCCTGTAAGTCAAATGTGATTGGGTGCAGCATCCCCTTTACTAAGTGTTGCTTTTGTTGTTGGCAGGATTTACCGCTATCAGACGTTTGACTATTCCTTCTCCACCACGGAATCCTTGCTGCATGCTATGGGCGGTGACGACTTCATCACAAAGCTGAATATAACCATAGACGAAGCGATGCAGAAATCCGGCTTCACGCAGAGGTTTATTGATGACATAGTGGGTCCGGCTATGAGAGTCAACTACGGGCAGGGAATTGAAATCAATGGCTTTGTAGGTGAGAATCTGTATTGCTGCTGAAGGAAGGATTTTCTGAGTGTTGTCTGTACTAAGGTAGGGACAGTGGACTGGAATGTGTTCCTTCATTAATGTATAATGGCTTTGGGTCCGTTTTCAAAAAAGAAAATATCAAAGCGCTAGAGGTATAGGCTGTATAGAACTCGGTACAACCAAGTATACAAGTGAGGATATAATCAAGTAAAGTGAAGGGTTAAGCAATTTGGCCTCAACCCGATAATGAATAAACGAATCAAAAGAAATCCTGCATGAAATATTGAAAAAAGGGAAACTGAATAACTCAATTTGGCCTCAACCCGATAATAAATCATTATTCATTATCGTGTTGAGGCCAAATCGCTTAACCCTTCACTTTACTTATTATATCCTCACTTGTATACTTGGTTGTACCGAGTTCTATACAGCCTATACCTCTAGCGCTTTGATATTTTCTTTTTTGATCACTCAAAGGATTCTATCCTTTTTTTCACAGCTGCTTTAGGTTTTAATAATTAATATATATTTATCTTAGTCATTATCCAGAAGCGCAGATTATTTATTTTACATCTTTGGGTCCGTTTTATTTTATATATTTGTATCCTTTTTTCTTTTTCTTTTCTTTTTTTAAACTGTTATGAAATCTTTACAAATAAAAAAACTCCTAAATGAAATTATTGGGTTTTCTGAAGAGAAAGCAGAGCGGAAGCTGATTATTACTCTTGTTCTTTTGTAATGTCTGCCTTGCAAAAAGGGGGTTGTCATTTCCTTGGCTGACTCTGCTGTATGGGTAATCGGCCTCTAGGCTCTCCAAGCAAAATGAACAGAAATGATTCATACTGACCTAAAAAAAAAAAAGTTTTTCAGAATAAGATAAGAAAATCTAAATTATTAAAATCACTTTACTATTCCTTCAATCAAAGGAAGCAACCTGAAGACCACTAATGAGCTGTGTGAGGTAAGCCGGTGCAAAATGAACGGATTGCTTTTTGTGTTTCGCGTTTTAGCTTTCCGTATAGACCGATCAGCCATAACCTTATGACAACTGAGAGGTGAAGTGAATAACATTGATTATCTCTTTACAATAGCAGCTGGAGGAGGGTGGGGTATTATAGGCAGCAATGAACATTTTGTCCCTGAAGTTGATGTGTTGGAAGCAGAAGAAATGGGCAAGTGTAAGGATTTGAGCGACTTTGACAAGGGCCAAATTGTGACGGTAATTGCTGCATGCATGTTCCAGGTCAGTACACTCAAAGGACTGAAACCAGAGATAGAGGGGCAGTTAGAATTTTTCATTGACTAGTTTGGACTATTTTTGTTTATCTTAAAATTCTAAACTAATATGTCCTCCTTGCTGACAATATATTTGAATATCCATCATTGGTCAAGATGCCTGCAGGTCTGAGTCATCAGACTAGATAACGTGTAGTCCACTGTTATGGTTCATCATTTTGGTTTTCTTTTTCTTGTCTTAGGAGCTATCTCTCTTGCTGGCACAGACTCTGGCCTGTGGGCAGTTGTAGGTGGGAACAAACTGGTTTGTAATGGCCTTATTTATGCTGCGAAAGCCCAGCTAATTAAAGGCACCGTCTCTTCTGTGCAGGAGAAAGTTCGCTCTACAAAGTCTGGTGAGTGGAACTGGCATGACTTCATGTCCACAGAATCCAAATAAATCTGCTTTATACTTCCATAGTGTCTATGTGGCAGTATGCTGGTATGAGATCAGGAATGGTACAAATGTATAATTGTATGTCCCACTGACCCCTTAGCCACTGGCTTGGAAATAATATGTGGTTCTCAGCTCGCTTTGATGGAGAACATGGCAGCCACATTCACACGAGAAAAAGCCGGCACGTGCAGCTCCCGGGAAGGACAGGTGCTGCGTGTGATTAGTACGCAGCTCCCGTCCTTCTCTATGGGAGTACGCCGCCCTACGCTCACCCCAAGTGCAGGTCCGTGCGGGTGTCCTGGCTCGGACGCAGCAGGATCCATCCTGTCAGAGTACGGGCAGACGTGCAGGGCGGATGAGCGTAGGGCGGCATACGGCCGTGTACTCCCATAGAGAAGGAAAGGGGCTGCAAATAATTTACACGCAGCACCTGTCCTTCCCGGGAGCTGTATGTGCCGGCTTTTTCTCGTGTGAATGAGGCCTATAGGTGCCAAGTACATATCCTGTTCTGAACTCCTGATATACAAAACACTCACTATAGCCAGCACTGAAATACACAATGGGATAACATGGGAGCAGCTCATATGCTCCCCCATCCCTGGGAGTGTCTGGCATTGTAGTCAGGAAGGGAATGTATGTAAGTTGGGTATATGGGGCTTTGGGGGATGCCCTTTGCAGAGACACTGCCACTTTTGCCGTGCATGGTGACATTGTTGAATACTTGATATTGCTCTTACATTTGTCAGTTAAATTCAGTATTACAGTATATTCATTATATTATTATTTTTATATACTAATCCCTTTTTTGTGTGTATGTTTTAGGAAATACGGTGAAGCTCTACGAAGTAAGCTATGCAACAGACACTGGGACTGGATTGGACATGTATGACATTGTAGTCATCGCAACACCACTCAACAAGGACATTGGTAACATAGCTTTTGTAGGCTTTGACCCACCAATCGAGACCTTTTCCAGACCTTACCAGCAGACGGTGACCACCTTCGTCCATGGAAAGCTCAATGCTTCTTTCTTTGGATGTTCCAAAGCAAGTCACTTTCCGCTATCAGAAATCTTAACCACAGATAACCCCAAACTTTTCATCCGCAGTATTTCAGCAGTGTCCCCGACCAAACCAGTCCCCGAATCTCACGTGTCTAAAGCTTCAGATCTCCGAGTCTGGAAAATCTTCTCTGCAGAGGTCCTAACCAATGAGCAGTTGCGTCAGCTGTTTGAGTCTTACCATGCAGTCAAAGTGAAGAAGTGGCTGGCTTATCCCAAATACAACCCACCAGAGAAATTGCCACCAATAATACTTCATCGTTCAATTTATTACCTGAACAGCATTGAATGGGCAGCCAGTGCCATGGAGATGAGTGCCGTCGCTGCCAAGAATGTGGCACTTTTATCTCACCATCAGTGGTATGAAAAGGCTGAACACATTGACCAGGAGAATTTAACAGAGCGTTTAAAGTCCGAGCTATAGATTGTCATTTTTGTTTCCATGTCTGACGTAATTAGCAATTTTATAAGACTAATGAAGACAAATCCACCTAATTTGGGATGTCCAATGCTTCATCATGTTTTTTTTAACCAAACCAAAACTTTAGTTCAGAGTTTAGTGGGGCAAGGTACTACTTCCCTGCTGGATTCCCTTAGTCTAAGGGTCCCCACACACCTTACGATTATCGTACGATAATCGCGGGAAATCCTGCGATCGTACGATGATCGCAAGGTGTGTGGAAGCCGTGCGACCTCTACTACTGTAAGGTCGCACGACTTTAAACTTACGGACATGTTCGAAAACCCACCGAGCATCGTACGATGTTCGGCGGGTTTGTGGCATGTCCGTGCGATAACAGCCGTACGGGCCGGTGTGCGCAAGCGCACACTGCCCGTTCGGCATTGCGGTCGTCGGAAGCCCGTCCCTCAGGGGGCGTGGCTTGCGATCATCGCAAGTACGATCTACTTATGCAAGATAGGCAGATCGTACGTTTTTTTAATTACCTTACAACCATCGCAAGACAAAAGTCTTGCGATGGTTGTAAGGTGTGTGCCCAGCCTAAGTCCAGCCCAGAGAAATGAAAGGGCTAGAAGCAGGGGTGGCCAAACTTTGCCCTCCAGCTGTAGAGAAACAACAAATCCCATCATGCTTCTGAAAGTCATGCATGTGTATGTCAGAGTTGCAATGCCTTATGGGACTTGTAGTTGCACGTACAAAATGTATGTTTATTTTCTTATAACAATCAAATGAATGTCTAATATTTAATGAGGAAATAATATATTTTGACCCTTAACCAATGGCTTGTTGCTCCTCCTTTTTGTTCTGTGCCCCCCCTACCCAGAGACTGCACTTTAGATCATATATTTTCTTGTCCCCTGTGAGATTTGGTGTATTTTTGTATACCGTGCCTCCCATCCATACCTACAAGAGCTGAAGGGTCATATCGTATTGGCGATCTTATCGCTGGCAGCATCAGCACCACGGCCCCTCACACCACCCCATGCTGGTGTAAGGACTTACCTTAAATGATGCAGCTTGATCCGATCATCTTCTGTCCATTTAGTTTTCAGAAGGAGCGCACGGTTCGGGTCCGGACAGAATCCGGACATCGTGTGAACAAGCCCTAAGCCAGTTCAACTTAACTTAAAGTAGTATTAAAACTTCCTGTCCCACTGTGTCTGTGCACGCTGCTCGCATTGACTTACACTGCCTGTGTTTCCCGGCCGAAGATCTCTACACCGGCCGCCCCATGATCCTTTGCGGCCGCCTGAGAATCTTTAGCACTTCAGATTAGAGCGAGCGGCAGAGACACAGCTGAGTTTTACCCTTTTTTTGGTTTTTTTTTTTTTAAAATGTTTTTGTTAGCAGTAGATGCATGCAAAGAAACCCAGAGGGTTCAATTATACTTTAATGCAGCTGGTTTTTTGGAGATTGACTTGAAAGGTGGAGAGCACACTGCAGCCTGCACACAGCGTATGTATGTTCTGCAGCTGGAGATAGAATCGGAGCTTTGAGTCCACGGAGCTCCAGGGGAAATTTTTTTTATTACCCCTGGTAGTGGGTTAATAAAGACTGGAAAAAAAATTAGTTATACTCCCCTGATGCTGTGAGCTGGCTTGTTCTTAAGACAGGTCCCTGAAGTGGTCTAAGGTTCTGTAAATCATCATGTCTGTACACTGTACAGACCTGAGGATGACTCCAATGCTACAATGGAGCAGGAGGGAGCGTTGTGACAGCTGGCTGGCTTAGAAGTTCAGGCGACACCTAGACAAAAATGAGTACATAACCTTTGCTGTGTGCACCCCACTGCAAGGGTTAACAACAAGTTTTCCTGGAGTTCCTTTTGCCCTGGTTAAACAAAGCACAATTTTTTATTTCCCAAACTATACAGCATTGTCGAAATGGAAACAAAAGATGGCTAGCTTTGAGCACTGCCTCCATCAGGGATCTCTCTCCGCATGGTGTGGCACAGAGGAAGCCGAATATGGGAGGCAATTGGATCTGGTTCACAACAGCTTCCGGTCTTGGAAATGTTATGTGCGTTGCTGTTGAACTGTCACTTATGTGTATAAAAAAAATATATACTTGAAAGATGCAGCTAGAAGTATTCTTTCTCTATTGCACTAGGGCATCGGTGGATAATTTGATATTGATTGCTACAATTCTGATTGATAGTATTGCGTTTGCAACGGACCAGGTCCCTCTGTGCCGGGATTACTCAATAATTAGCTGTGTGCGGGATAGGTCCAGCCCTTGCACTGATGGTAACACACCATGCACTTATTCTGTCTGATTTTCACTTTCAGTAAAGTTCTGCTGAATCCACTACCGTCATGTTTTCGGTTTTTGTTATTCCTGTGCCTCTAATCTGAAATAAAAGATTTACATCACTTAGAACCTTGTACCTGTTTATTTAGACCTGACATTGGGAATAGCTTGAGGTTGGAAATGGTGGAAAAGGAGTTCTAATTTTTAAAATGTTTAAATCTGTGCAGCCTTTTATAGGAGAGATGACTTCATTAGTGTTCTACTTCTCCTTTATTGTCTCATCACAGGTTGGTGTGGGTACTGGACCCAGATTTTAAAGGCAGTACAGGCTGCAGGGTCACCCGTGGACCTTGCAGAGGTACCTGGATCACAAGACTGCTGGAATTGGAATACTTCAGCAGATATGACAGTCACAAATTAATAAGACCTGTGAGATTTTCATCAACATTACATTTTCTACGGTTCAACTGCCTGACATTTACACTTGTAATATTGAGGGTCGGTTAACATCATATGCAGTGCGTTCTGGCACAGTTAGTGGCTTGAACGCACTGGGTCACATAATGAAAGCCTCCCTCGTTCTGGGGAGGGAGGGTACATGGTGGTACCATTCATGTCAATAGTACCGCAGACACTCCTCCAGCCCACAGCAGAACGCATGGTACAGCAATGCCCATGGGTCCGGTGCATGCACATTTCTTTCCAATCGCACTGCAGGCATTGCTGTACCACGTGTTCTGATGCGATAGTTGCACTGCGGGCGGGAGCATGTCTGCGGTGCCATTGACATGAATGGTACCAGCACGCCCCCTCCCACCCCAGAGGAGTCTTCAATTATGTGAGCCAGTGCGTCCGGCCACTAACCATGCCAGACTGCACTGGATATGGAGTGAACCACTTACACACTGATAACGATGTAGTTAAATGTGAAACTACACAATGTGTATGAAGAGATGCATGCACTGTATCTGCTGCATTATATTTCCTCCTGCTTTACTGTGATTCAGTACAATGGCACACGTCATCAAGCCCCTCATGTGGAGATGCAAGATGTCCTGCTCATAAACCTACGTGTTCCAACCTGGTCTGAATGATGGTTGAATACTCCCCCTGGCACTGGGGGAAGAGAAGAAAAACCCACCATAATTCCAAACATAAAACTCCCATTCTTCCCACAGAAGGGTGATTTTGCTTGCTGACTCTGCTCAGGCAGAGTACTGTCATAGGGGGAGAGAGTCCATGCTTAAAGTGACATTAAACCCTCAGATTTTTTTTTTAAACAATACTGTAATGTGTGCCTTACTGTAATCCATGGTTGTTTCCCTTCTCTTTGCTGCTCTTCCTTTTAAATCTGTATCTGTTCTCATGCTGGGGGAGAACTGACCTTTGCAGCTGACTGCCTCTTCCTGTAGTGCTGGCTCAGGTTGTGAACCTTCACACAGACACCATGTAGCCATTCCAGAGACAAGGCAGTCTACTGCAAAACAGAAGTTCTGCCCAGCTGGGATGAATTAAAGTGACATTAAACCCTCAGATTTTTTAACATAAACCAATACTGTAATGTGTGCCTTTACTGTAATCCATGGTAGTTTCCCTTCTCTTTGCTGCTCTTCCTTTTAAATCTGTTCTCATGCTGGGGGAGAACTTGTTTTGCAGCAGGACTCTGTCCTAAGAGCAAGACGAAAAGCACATACGATGCTTCTAAATCAGGGCTAGACACCCTTGGTGAAACTATAAATTCCATCATGCATCTTCCTCTGGCTCTCAATCTTGCAGTGCCTCATGGGACTTGTTCCACAACAGCTGTAGGGCCAAAGTTTGGCTAACCCTGTTCTGGTCTAGTTAGTGTTGATAATAAGATCAGCAGTACAGACAGGGTTGATGGTCTTAAACCTTACCCTCCCCCTTCTACCTTCAATTCCAAAGAAGAAATGAGTACAGGGAAAAACTACTTTGACAACTGAGCATGTTTTATGCAAGCTGCAATTTAAAGAACTCCAGGGAAATGTTATTAACCCTCGCAGTAAGGCTACCCCTGCAATGCAAGGGTTACCTGCTCATTTTGTGTTTGGAAGCTAAAAAGTTATACTTGCCCAAACTGCTGAGCCGAGAGGCTCAAGAGCAGGGATCTCAAACCTCCGGCCCTCCAGCTGTGGTGAAACTACAAATCCCATGAAGCATCTCTCTCCGGGAGTCATGTCTGAGAATCTTGCAAAGCCTCATGGGATTCGTAGTTCCACCACAGCTGGAGGGCCGCAGTTTGGCCATCCCTGCTCTAGAGAATAGTCTAAACACCTGTCGATTATCATACAATAATCGCAGGTGATACGATAATGGGCAGCGTGCGACCACTTCTACTGTACAGTCGCGCGACTTTAGTCTTTGGAGCACGCTGGAAAACCTGCCAAAACGATTTTCGGCGGGTTGGTGACATGCTCGGAAGACGAATGCCGCACGCGCTCACTGCCCACTCAGCACTGCAATCATTGGAAGCCCTCCCCTCAGTGGGGTGGGCTTGCGATGATCACAAGTCCGATCTGCCTGTCCAAGATGGGCAGGTCGTACGACGGTTGTAAGGTGTATGCGCAGCTTAAAAAGTGGCCATACACCTTACAACCATTGTACAACTTTTTTTGTCCAGACATCTCACCCTCGTTCAATTTTCTTACAACTAGCCCATCATGCAGACCAATGTAGTTCACAATTAACACTCGTCAGCATCACCACAATGCTGATTTTCATCGATCGGCAAGGACAGATTTTCATTAGTTTGCATCTTTCTAGCCTGCTTGAAAGACAAATCTGGCAGATTTTCTGATAAAACACAATCGCAGACAATCTCCAGATAATTGTATGGGCACCTTAAGGCTGGCCATACATTTCTTTTTTTTTAAACACTAAGCGTATCGATCGAGGAATCCTGCTGTTTACATCCAGCGGCTTCCGCCACCTGTCAGAATACCCGACCAGAGCCAGCAGCTCATTGGCTGCTGGCTCTGATCGATCGAAGATTTTCCAATCGGCAGATAGAGGGATGCCGATTGAAAGGGAGCAGACAGCCCCGCACACTGAATTGCTGCCGGTTCCTCAAAATCTGGCCAAAATTTAACACTGTATGGGCACATTTAGGCTCAAATGATAACTTATTTAGCACCTAGACACAGACGAGCAGTTGACCCTTGCATTGCGGGGATAGCCCCACTGCAGGGGTTAAAGTTTCCTGAGTTAATTAACTGCGTGGAATGGAGATGGAAAACCTCTGAAATAAGCTTCCATTGCTGCCTGTGGATTGGCTCTGGTGAGACCCCACCAGACAAAGCAAAGACAAAAGGAATGACATCACTGCTCCCGAGTAGGGATCTACATGGGCTTGGTGTGCACCAGTTCACTGGAGTTCGTCCATGCAAAACGCTCAGTGACATGACACCCTCCCTGCCCCATCAGTTGCGGTCGGGCACCCCCACCCCTTTGTTACAAGTAGATGTGGGCCGAAGAATGACCCTGTCGCAGCAAATTGGGCCAGGATTGGGTTTCAGACAAACTAATTATTCTGTTCCCTGAACGCACAGATTTCTATTTATTCTAAATGCAATTAAAGGAGAACTATGGGGTCAGTGCTTTTCCGCACAGTTCTCCTAAGAGTCACGGGAAAACACAAACTAGCGTCCTCCTGTCACCCAAAGCTCAGTATACTGAGAGCTACAGCTAGCGGTATTCTGAGACGCCGCAGCCAGAGCGGATCCTGACATTACTGTCTGGATCCACCCAGCTGCGGGATTGACAGCTGGCTCTGCCTATCTAGAGGCAGAGCCAGCTGTACCCACCCCGTCCCTCGTCCAGTCAGCGCTGGAGGATCGGACGGGAGGGAGCAGTGAGTGACAGTCACGGCTCCCTGCAGGGACAGGATCGAATAGTGAGCGAGCGCCGGTATGTGTTCGCTCACTTCCCGATCTACTGAGCCGACCTGTGACAGTTTCATTGTCGCCGGTCGGCTAGAATTATGAGGTGAGTGAAAAGCACTCGCCTCATAGTTCTTTAACTTAAGTGCATTTTTCACAATTTTTGGGTTTGATAAGTTGCGCCAATTTCCTGCAACAGAAAAATTTGCAACGGCCTCCATTTTATTCTACAGGGTCTTGGCTTTCAGAAAATATGTTTGTGGATTTTAAGTCATTTTCAGGCCTAATATGTGGATAACATGCAAGCAAAAAAAAGGGCCTTGATCCTTAAGGGGTTAAGTTATGTATGTGAATTGGAAAGTGTAACAAATATAAAATTAGGTTTTCCCAATTTGGCTACAAAAGTTGAAATACACCAAGTTTCAAGCTACCGCCTAAACATACATAGGTCTTTCTCTGGTCAAATTTGGCAACCAACCCTGTCAGCAAAGCACATGTTCACTTTAAGAGACACCGGCAAACAAAACACACAAACCTGGTGTAAGTGGAAAAACATTTTAATACAAAAAAGAAAATGTGAACAGTACAACAAATGTATACGGCCTGAATTCAGAAAGAGGACTAGTTAAAGGGTTGAGATCACAGGGAGGGGTTAGGTGGTTCAACATATCCTAATGCTATACTCGTTCCAAAGCTTCCAACATGATTATGCTGTTCCCTCGTATGACCTGAAAAACAAGAAGACATTATACCGTTATAGACTTGTATATAGATAGGTGGCCCTGGGACTAAGACCATCTCTGGTTTCAGTGATACCCAGGAGGAGTACTGTGCATACATACATACATGCCTACTATACAAAACTGTTCCCTAAGCCGTACAATGTACGCTGTGCAGACAAACACACAGCATGCCTAGTATGTCATTCAATACAGACCCTTAGGCGCTGGTCACACCAGGACGGATTTTTTTTTCCATGCTGAAATGCCATTTAAGATCCAATAGATTCCTATGGGGGCCGTTCACGCAAACGTGCTTTCCAATACACCAGTCGCCTGAAATGTTCCCTGAGCTACGTTTGTAGCGCTCATCGACTCTTTTCCCTATAGACTTTGATAGAAAAGCGCTTCAGCACAAAAACTTGCTTCCAAAAAACGAGCTGAAACGCTGTCGCCCTGGTGTGAATGAGGCCTTAATCCCCAAGGATCACACCTTATTTACTAAAGTGACAAATGCGCTGTATTTACAAAATGGTTATTCACTTTGCAGGGGAATTTTCCCCAAGCTTAGTGAATGTGGTGGAAATTCACTTTGAAAAAGTAACATGCAGGGGGGGGATTTCTCCTGCACATGATTGGATGATGGAAGAGTCGGCAGAGCTTTAACTCATTCACTGAGCTAAGGGAAACTCCCTTACAAAGTGAACAGCCTATTTACCTTTAACCCCTTTGCTGCCACTGATGTATCATAATAATTCTGCTGGGCACCTTCCATGAATATCAGCAGGAGACCTGAATCTGTCAGATATAAGGCTTCAGCAGCTATTATGCAGAGTCTATGTTGTTCAGCATACTTACCACCATGCCAATATTCTGATGCCCACTTGGTGCCACTTCTGTGCATTCATCTACCACAAGATTCATGAAAGGGTCAAATCCTCGAAGTATTCCCTGTACATGTCTCCCGCCATTTAACTTTACTAAAGACATAAAAAAAATTGAAATTGGGTTATTAAAGTCAAAGAAACACAAGCTTTCCATAAAGTGTCCAACTCATGCCGGGCGACGCTGCTACAAGACATACCACCTAAGTTAGAAGCAAGTCCCCGTGCATAAACCCTACGGGCTCCTTCACACCATCCCCGCTGGGCTGCGTTAGACAGCATTGTCCACCACAATCCCTACACATAGACAAGGCGGTTGCCTCATCTCCTATTGTGTCAGAGCAACACACATTGCAGTGCACAGAGTTAAATCCAACACCATTTCAAGATGTGCTTTAACAAGACACAACACCACACCTTACACAACGCATGCCAGCAGGCGCATGTTACACATAGCATAACATTAACTGGTGTATAGCCAGCTTTATAGGTGAATCTGATGTATAAATATATATTGCGGGGGAGGGGGGTTGTGAAAAACAAGCCTTGTTGAAAGATTTGGCTTATTGATCAGCGACTTCTAGTTCCTACACTGGTCACATGACCGTCGCTCTCTTTACCTGACAGAACATAACACAAAGGCATTTCATAGTCCTCCATCTCAGCGCTCTTTCTATATCATATACATGAGGCTGCCAAATACTTACAGGATAATTTTTTGTCCATGAACCTTTGAAAAGAAAAAAATATATATATTAAACCGACGTTCACAAAATGAAACAATCAACACAATTACAATCATTCGTACCATGCCTATTGTTATCCCTGGCTGGTGATATGACATGTGACTAATGTGGAGCACCGGAAACCGCTGATAAGCACCCAGAACTGTGCGGCGTTCAGAAGCGTGTATTGTTCTCGCAGAGAAAGGAACACGGCTGGTCAGCTGATCATTTGAGAAACTAAAGTTCACCTCCATCCAAAACTTTTTCATTTTGGACAGACCAGTGAAAGATTAGAGCCTCTGTCAGGTTTTTATTGTCATCCGTCTACCTACCTGGGTGATTTCTCCTAAATTTCATGTCATTAGAAATACAAAAAGACAAATTATAGTCAAGCAAGGAAGAATTAGGGTCCATTAAGGACCTGCATCCTTCCCCCAGAGGAAACAAACTATTGATGATGTGCAGTAAAACGCACAGGTCTGGATAGAACCTTAAATCCTAACCGCATGCAAGACAAATAAACCCTACGCAGCGGGGCTACCTCTGCACTGCAAGGGTTAAGTCCTCGTTTTATCTAGGGACTAAAGTAACAGTTATACTCACCCGATCTTCGGAGCCGGCCAGCTGTCACAGCGCTCTCTCCAGCCCCGCAGCGATGGTATGTCCATTGGCATCCTCGCCTCCTATACACTGTGTATAGAACGCGATGACTCAGAGACCTTAGACTGCTGGAGCGGAGGAGGAGATACGCTGGATGGAACCAGTCTAAGATAAAGCCGGCTCCGCGGTTGGGGTGAGTAGAACTTTATTTTAGTCCTTAGATGGAAATTAGCAGTTAACCCTTGCAGTGCTGGGGTAGCCCCACTACAGGGGGTTGCTGTAACCCTGTTTAAGTGTTTCTATAAGTCTAAGGGTAGATGAAGAGGATGGTCACTTACCCTAACTCCCTACTCCGGAACTTTTCTCTTCTCCCTGACCACAGAACACCTCCCTCATATGTTACAAAGAAGAGAATAGTGGAAAGTGTTCTGTTGTCCTGTCCTAGGGTGACAACTCTGCTCCTTGATACATACAGTGCATTGAATGAATGTGGCCACCCTAGGACAGGAAGTGTTACTGCCAGGGTCACCAGGTAATAAAGTAGATGGTAAGGCACAATGCGAACATCTTTCAAATGTAGCCTCCCCGTCCAGTGGCGTAACTAGAAACCTCAATGTCCCGCTGCAAGAGACCATGAAACAGTGACTGGCATTTTAGTACGCGGCCGCACCCGACACGTCTTTGCGTTAATATGCGTGCACTCGCGGGGGTGAGGGACTTTTCAATTAATTGCCATCACATAAGGGGGGTTACAACCCCCTATGTGATAGCATAGTGGTGACAGGTTCTCTTTAAGGCGTCATTAGACTCCTAGTGTCACCTTTCCACTCAAAAGAAGCTACTTCAAGTGCAGATTGCGCTCCAATAGCTTTTGCAGCTGGGGAATGAGATCCGAGGAACCAGAAGTGATGCATCAGCATTGCTTCCGGCCCCATTCAGTGGGTAAGAGATCGGTGAACGGATGTTCTCGGGTCTCCTTCACGCCGACACCTGTGATGACAGTCCTGGGCCTGCAGGAGTGTGGCCCACTATACCGGCCCCTGGAAGCGATCTGGCAGAATCACTTCCTGCATAAAACCGACAAATCGGCCTTTCCAGCCCCCCCAAGTGGCGGAACGCCAGGGCCATGTTGCACATGTGACCCTGGTATTTCCCCGCCAGTGTCTCCATCAATCTGTATTCACTACATCTAATTTCCACTTAATCAGAAAATAAATACAGATCATTTCAGCTCAACTGAAGTATTGTGAATGAGCCATAAAAGGGGGAAAAAAGCCTGAAAAAGTAAAACTAAAGCAGCCATCACATGTAAGGACTGGGAAGTTGCTATACATCACATTTCTCTTGCTGGGTTTAGATGTTAGTTAACCCTTCTCTACTCTATACATCCACACACTTAATCTGATCTACAAGAGGTATTGCTGGGCTGCACATTACTCAACACCATAATGGAAGGCGTATAAACCGTGCAGGGGAAGGCCGCAGCCTGATAAATGCTCCAAACCACTATCCGGATACAGTATGGCTCAGCCTGCCCCGTCTACCCCCGGACCCCCTCCTCCTTCATCCCGGTACACGGCTCACTTTTTCAATTCGGGCGGGTGCGCTTTACTCATGGTGAAGTTCTTCCTTCGATCCGCTCACACAACGTTCTCAAAGCACGGTGCAGCGCGCCGAATGGGAATACGGTGATGGCGTCACAAAGCGAAATAGGCGGGTCTCCCGCACCAACCCGGCCATCTTTGTGTGGGGCATTTATTTAACGGAGCTAATTTATGCGAATGAATACATGCATACGCCCACAACGCAGTACAGTTATTTATCAATGGTGACCTCTATCTGATATTGTTGCAAGCTATTGTACATTTTTTCTAGGGGGGTTATTTTATTTTCTGTTGCCCAGAAGAAAGATGGCACCCACGCCAGGCTTCAGTTCAGGTCCGGAAGTGACGTGCTAAGGGCGGAAGGAGAGTCTCATGTCCTTGGAGCGCATGCTGTTGCACAGAGATGGCAGAGGAGGCTCAAAGCAGGCTTCAGAATGCGGTGGACTCCATGGTGAAGAACCTGGAGAGGGAGAATATCAGGAAAATGCAGGTGGGGAATGTGTGCAGAGGTGGTCGAGGTCATTGGCTCTGTGGGTGCTTCTGTCTTAGATTTCTAGTGTATTAGAACCTATGATCTGTCATGGAGGAAAACTTTACTTTTATTGAGAAAAGATATAAAATAAAGAAACATCTGATTAGTTATTGGTGACAGACCGTTCTTAAACTGTATCTAAAGTCAAAACCTTTTTCCATTGTGGATTATGTAGGGAACGGTTTTAAAACCCTTCCCTACCTTGTCCCATCTTTTTTTGTTTAACTGTCAATGGTGCATCAGGGAGATTTTCTTTCACTTCCGGTTTAACAGATGCAACAGGAAAAAAGGTAATATCTCCCCAATTAATGGGGATCCCCTCTTGTGCCCATTGGTAGATTCCCCCTCTTTTTCTATTTTGGTGACAACTTTTAATCCCGGTGACAAAGAAAGAATGAAGAGCAGTGGCATCACACAGGGGGTGGGGGCCACCGGGTGACACCATCAGAGGGGGTGACACCAAAATGACATTCATTTTGGTGTCACCCCCTCCTAAAGGTTGGGCACTTGGTCATGGACCGAGATCCTGACAGCGGCACAAGAGAGAAGTGGGAACCCAACGGCATACCTGATCCCGTCGGGTCAATATCCCATCTTCTTTTTGCCGGTGTCCATCACCAAGAATGCCACCTGCTATGAAGTACATCACCGCATGTGTGATGATGTCACACCACGAACATCATAATGCATGTGCAAGAGCACAAATAAAGAGGGTGAATCTCCCCAGCAATAATTCCTTCTACAGTGAAACCCTGAGGGTCTCTATTATACACATTTTTAGTACACAGTACACACATTTGTAGTCTTCTTCGAAGGGAAGGTGTTCACATGTCCATTCCATCACAAATAGTTTAAAAATAGGAAGCATATTCCTCATTTCAAGACAGCGGTAGAGCCGGACAATGTAGCTTTAAAGGAGAAGTGCAGAAAAATGAAAGCATGCTCTCCCTACGCTTAGAGCTGATGTGGGGACAATGCAGCTGTCACACGCTGGCTCTAATACCAAGAGCTGATCAGTCATGTAACCGCTGATTGCTCAGCTCACGGTCTCCTCCCTGCAGAGAAGGGTGACTGTCAGTCTCCACTCCCTACAGGAATTCCCCCTCCCCTCTCTCTGTTCCTCCAATGCTCATTGGAGAGACAGACAGGGGAGGGGGTGGGCACAGCTGGATCTAGAGAGGCAGAGCCAGCTGTCAATCAGGCAGTGAGGTGGATCCCAACAATCTTGTCAGGGTCCTTCCTAGCTGCAGTGTGGCTCTGTGCTGTCAGCATATAGTGGGCAGTAGCCTGTTATATGCTGACTTTAGGTCACAGGGGGACATTAGTAAATATAACCCTGTGGCTTCAAAGAAAAGTAAAACTAAAAAAAAGTTTTAGCTTTACTTCTCTTACTTTTACACTTTTAACTGCATAATGCTTTGCCTTTGCAAATAAAGATATTCCTGTCCTTGCCATTCAGGTCAAGGCTTATTGTGCATATGCCGTTAGTCATTGATAAGGGCACTTCTACACCCAGTTATGAAACTTCATTGCTTCATGCTCTTTGCAGTCATGACCTGTAGTTCCACAACAGCTGGAGTGCTGAGGTTTCCAGCCACTCTCCCAAGGATTTCCATGTATCCAAGCATCCCCTGTACATTGAAAACAATGTCTTAAAAAGAACCTTCCTTTGGATTGCATACCTGTACGCCAATGCGTGGCCTGTCCGAACAACTCCTCCCCGCCAATGTTGGGAGCGTGACCCTAGCACCACGCACTACCTGGAAGTATGCCATTTAAACAAAGGTTCTATTTAAAAAGCCTGTGTAGTTGTTTGTTTTCTATCTACAGTGTACTGGGGATGCTGGAATGAATGTACTGGGAATGCTGGAAGGCATGGACATTTATTTTGCTAAAGGTGAACTAACCCTTTAGGTTTAGAATGTTTCTTGTGGTCATTAAAAGACTCAACTGAGGTTTTCTTTGCCAAGGATTTTCTCTCTTATATTTTTAATAACAGAATATTCAATGGTGCATGGTGCTTGTTGTGTAACTTATTCTATTTCTTGCAGGGTAAGATGTTTCGGTGTAGCGCTCAATGCTGTGATAACGAACCTGCTTCCATGCAGGTAGTGCACAACTGTATAGAGCGCTGTCACATGCCACTTGCCCAGGCACAAAGTCTGGTCACCAATGAGCTGGAGAGATTTCAGGTGAGTGTTGCAAGTTACAGATTACCCCAAGCTCCATCTATAATGATTGCAGTACTTCCATTATTCCACCAGAGGGCAGCAGATCTCCACTGTTTAATTAGAACTGGAACATGCGTATTGGCATTGGCGTGATCACAATGAAGACTAGCTGCAATTGTAGGTGTAAATATTTGAGGAAAGGGAGGATAGAGATGTAGCTCAGAGCAACAAGCAATCATGTTCTAGTGTAGCCTGGATGATTGTGGAAATAGGGAAGAGTCTTGAATATCCAGGAACTTTTTATAGAATGATAACAGTAAAACTTGCTCTTGTACCTTCCAGGCGACTGGTACACTTTGCAGACTTAAACAAAATGTCTGTCCTGATGCTGTTGTAGAACTTAAAATGAAGCTATGATTTTCCCACACATGGCAGTGCAATCGGTTTACTTTACTTAAAGGAGAACTATGAAGTGAGTGAAAATCACTAATCCTCATAGTTCGAGCCGACCTGTGACAATGAAACTGTCGGACATCGGCTCAATAGATCGGGAAGTGAGCGAACACATACCGTCGCCCGCTCACTTCTCGATCATCTCCCTGCAAAGATTCCCCGCTCCAATCCTCCAGCGCTGACTGGCGGAACGGACGGGGGAGGGGGTGGGTACAGCTGGCTCTGCCTCTAGATAGGCAAAGTCAGCTGTCACTCACGCAGCTGGGTGGATCTCAACAGCAATGTCTGGATCCGTCCCGGCTGCGGCGGTCTCAGTATACCGCGTGCTGTAGCTCGCCATATACTGAGCTTTGGGTCACGGGACGACACTAGTATATGTCCTCCCGTGACCCTAAAGAGAACTATGAGGAAAAACACTTACCCCATGGTTCTGTTTTAAGCCTTCCTCAACAGCGTATCCTTGGCTTACTTTTGCTCCCCTGCTGCCCTGTTCAGCTAGTGGGAGTGAAGGAAAGCCCTGTGTAAGCTGTAGACACAGGGCTATGAAATGCCCCTTGTGACAGCGCGGATTGCCACAGCATTGTGCTATAGAGTTGGTCAAATGCTCCTCCATTCCCAGACATACCAGGTATTTCCTTCAGCTCTAAGCAATGTACAGAGTGATAGAGGAGTAAAGCTGGGTACACACGGAGTGAAATTCGATTCATGGATGGCCCTGTGCCCTCAACAGAAGTCGATCGACTTTTGCCAAAGGGACATGCTGGAAAATAATCGGCCGAACATCATCTGCAAGCACTGTTTGGGTATTCTGACAGCGGCCAGTTCCACTGTCAAAATACAATGTACACGGGGAGATTCGTTCACCCTCGCTGTTAGTGTGGATGGAGGAATCTGTTCTATTTCGTGGTTGGTATATGGGGGGGGGGATAAAGCAAACCTGTTGCTTTTCTCTAAGTGAGCACAGCACACATTTGCAATAAAACTGCTCTAACCCTAAGCTGAAGTTTAAATCAACTAAATAAAATCGTGGTGCATTAGTAAAGTAGCCACGACTGGAGTAGAAAAGCATGTCCCCTGCCAGCACCTGCAGAGTGAGGCTCTTGTGGGTAAGTAGTGGTCTCATTGCAGGGGTCTGACATGCCCCTACCTGAGTCAGAACTATGCAATCAGCAAAGCTTCTGATCCCTGCTGCTTGGAGGGCTCTGACTCTGCAGGGGGCATGCATGTTGGACCTGTCCTGAGAGACCACCTCTTCTCTACAGAGCGCAAGAGTCTCACTCTGCAGCACACTGGCAGGGGACAGGCTTTTGTACTCGGGCTGTGGCTGCTTTGGATAGTAAATGAACTGTAAGACATTGAACTCTTTTGTGTTGATGAACTTGGATTGTACTTGAGGTATGTATTGCTACCTTCTGGCTTAAGGGCTCGTTTCCACCAGCCCATGCGCTCATCACACTGTCCCTTGGCCGGAAAACAAGGGATTGCATACACAAAGTTTCCTTGCGTTATGGGGTGGGAAGGGGCGTGGGAGTGCCATTCATGTCAATGGCACTGCAAATACGCCCCCCACCAACAGTGCGATCGGCCGTGCTGCATGCACTATTTTTTGCGATCAGACCGCACTGGAACGCATGGCATTTTATTACCACTTAGTCCCGTACTGCCGATCGCACTGCGGACGGGGGGCTTGCCTGCACTGCCATTGACGTGAATGACACTGGCACGCCCCATAACTCAAGGAGACTTTGTGTATGCGATCCCTTGAGTTCTGGGCACGGGACAGGGCAATGAGCGCACGGGCTGGTGGAAACGACCCCTAAAAGGAGAACATAATATGTAAAGGTAAGCGTGTCATAAAAAATATGGGAGCTGCCATTGTTGCCTTCCTTCTGAGAATTCTAGTTACCTGACTGATGCTGTTCCTCTGGATTCATGCTTTCAGAGTCAATGACCTAGAACAAGAATGTAGATCAGGAAAGTCAGAAGTTCTAATCTGCATACTTGACCCGGGTCACTGAGTCAATGTATTGAGTGGAGAAGGTTGGCATGACAGCAAGGGAGATGGCATTTTAAGGAGTGCTAGGCAATGGCAGACTTCATGAAGGCCATTAAGAAAAAGTATTGGTAATTGGTATCGGTGAGTACTTGAAAAAAGTATCGGTACTCGGGCTTAAAAAAGTGGTATCGGGGCATCCCTAGTAATATCAGATAAATACCACATTATGAACACTAGATGGAGCTGAGGATAAGTATTTCCTATGATCTTTGGCTCCATCTAGTGGCCATAATGTGTTATTATTCACTCTACTCTTATGAATGAAGTGCATTCAACCTGGAAAGAAAATATATTAATTTGGGAGGCACCGATACTGGTACTTGCCCAAATGCTCCTGATGCCTATCTAGACACCGGCACTTATGGTATTCATTAGCACATAACAAATGTACATGCAATTTCGCAGGATGAATGGCAAAGTATTTTCTGGCTCCCATATGGGACTGAATGGGCATAGATTCTGCGTGTATTTGAGAGCGTCTGGCGTATCTGCAGCACTCGCCTAAATCATCATGTAGTCATACTGCATATGATGCTACAATAATGATTTTATCTCCCATTAGGATCGCCTTAGTCGCTGCACCCTGAACTGCAACGACAAAGCAAAGGACTCGTTTGATTCCGGCAATAAAGAAGCAAAAGTGAGGGCTCAGCTGGAGGGCTGTGTGATGAAGTGTGCAGAGGAACACATGAACCTCATCCCCAGTATGACCAAGAAGCTGAAGGATTCTTTAATTGAGGCTGACAAGAAAACCTCTTAGGATCCAGATATGTTTGTTGTAGCCATCCTTCCTGCTGGAGTTCTGAGACAGCTGAAGAGCAGACAGAGTAATGGAGACTGAATACCTCCTACATGTGAGATGGGATGCTGCCAAGGCAGAGAACACCAGCGGCATCATGTCCAGCTCCGGGACCAAGCTGAAGCTTTACCTTCTCAGATGCATTACTCTGGGTGGGCTAACATTTGTGAAATTAAACATTAAATGTGGTTTTTAGAAATAATGAACACTCAGAATTCAAAGTAATCACCAAGAAAAGCTCAATTACCAAAAAAAAAAAGGAAATGGAATTCATAATTTGGGGTCTTGATGGATGCATTGTGTGATGTCATGTGAAGTATGTGAAAAATATCATACCTGCTGGAAGAAATACATTCTTTGCCCTGCTGAGTGTGCAGTAGATTTGATCAAATATAGCTTTTTTTTTTTTTTTTACTTTATTGCTGGGAGCTATAGCCAGATTGCTATTGGATATTTTAACCAGTTGACATCCGCGGTGTTAAACCCCCTTCCCATCCAGGCCATTTTTCAGTATTCAGCGCATCGATGATGAGAATCGTTTCCAATTCTCATCAATTATAATCGATTAGTTGTTGAAGCCCTACATCTATTGCATGTGGGGAGGGACCTTAGCCTTGTGTATATACCCCAACCAAGCTGACATAGGGCCTTTTACTCAGAAGGTAAGTATGGGCAGCACAAAGGGGAGTCTATTAAGTAAATCTATTACTTTGTCCTGGATGGGCAAAATACACGTTCACTTTAATGTGGAACTCTAACCAAATCTCTTTTTTCTGATGTTGATTACCAAGGGCAAGAAAAGACAAACCTTCTCCCTCTGCATAGTTTTTTTTTGTTCATCGTGGCAGAAATGAATCCTCACCTGCAGCATTCTCGGCATCTTTTGACATCCTGTACAAGTGCGGTTTGGCCATATAGAATAATGGCCATTGCCAGCCGTAGCTCAGCGCATTCACCTGGCAGATACCATGTACCATATCCTGAAATGTGATCAATTATAGATACCTAAAGCAGAACTCCAGGGAAATTGTCTTAACCCTTGCAGTGGGGATACCCCCGCACTGCAAGGGTTAACTGCTCGTTTCTGTCTATGTTAAAAAAATAACAGTTATACTCACCCAATCCACAAGTCTGGCTTTCTCTTATACCGCTCCTTGTAGACTCTCCTGCTCTAGTAGTCTTAAAGGAGAACTATGGGGGTAAGTGTTTTTTCACAATCTAGCATCCTCCCGTGAACCAAAGCTCAGTATACCGCGAGCTATACTGAGACCGCCGCAGCCGGGACTGATCCCGACATTACTGTCGAGATCCACCCAGCTGTGTGAGTGACAGCTGGTTCTGCCTATATAGAGACAGCCAGCTGTACCCTCCCCCGTCCGTTCCGCCACTCAGCGCTGGAGGATCGGAGGGGGAATCCCTGCAGGGAGCCGTGAGTGACAGTCACCGCTCTCTGCAGGGAGATGATCGAGAAGTGAGTGAGTAACGGTATGTGGTCGCTCACTTCCCGATCTATTGAGCCGACGTGACAGTTTCATTGTCACACGTCGACTCAAACTAGGAGGTTGAATGAAAATCATTCACCTCATACTTCTCCTTTAAGGTCCATGAGTCATCACGTTCTATGCATAATTATATAAGGTGTGAGGATGCCGAAGGACATGCCATCGCTGCAGCGGAGGGGGAGTGAGATGAAAGGGACCGGTCTAAGAGAAAGCTGGCTCCGAGGTTTGGGTAAGTATATCTTTGTTTTTTTTTAACCTAGACAAAGACGAGCCCCTTGCAGTACAGAGGTAGCCCCACAGCGAGGGTTAAGACATTTTTGTTTCGCTATAAGCTGTGAAGAAGGTTTTTATTTTTTTCCCTCCCAATATTACCCTGCACCTAACTGGATGTTTGATGGGAGCACCGGTTCAAAGATCAGACCCCCCACAGTATTAAGCAAACTCGTCCTTAAAGTGACATTAAACCCTCAGATTTTGTAACATAAAACAATACTGTAATGTGCGCCTTACTGTAATCCATGGTACTTTCCCTTCTCTTTGCTGCTCTTCCTTTTAAATCTGTATCTGTTCTCATGCTGGGCAGAACTTCTGTTTTGCAGTAGACTGCCTTGTCTCTGGAATGGCTACATGGTGTCTGTGTGTAGGTTCACAACCTGAGCCAGCACTACAGGAAGAGGCACTCAGCTGCAAAGGGAAGTTCTCCCCCAGCATGAGAAGAGATACGGATTTAAAGGGAAGTGCAGCAAAGAGAAGGGAAACAACCATGGATTACAGTAAGGCGCACATTACAGTATTGGTTTATGTTAAAAAATCTGAGGGTTTAATGTCACTTTAACCGAGGAGCACAGTCTTAAAGTGGACCTGAGCTTCGCCTCTCGGGGGTACTTAAACAGGTTTGCTTCCTCCTGAATAGGCCAATACTCAGCTGTCTACACCTTCTCCTTAAACATTTCTGCGTGTGCATCCAGCATCAGACACAAGTCTGTTCATAAAGCAATAAATGAGACTCGCCAAACATTCTGGTGGATCTGTCGCTGTCATTTTACGCACATGCACCTGCAAGGGTATGCTCCTTGGTCTTCTTTAACCACGTCAATAGCAGCATGTTCCACCCCTTCATTACCAGGCCATTATTCCGTTTTCAGTGCTGTGAAAGTTTGACTGACTCATCCATTCATTAGTTCCTGTCCCTGCCCCCGTTGTAAGAGGGAGGGAAGGACTTGGCAAAGTAAACATTGCCATGTGATCGCTGTGATAAGACACAGAGCCGTTCTGATCGTCTCTGTGCCTGAAGCCGCTGCTCTCCACTGACAGCGGGAGCAGCGGCTTCTGCATACAGCCTCCATTGGGAAGATATGTGAAAAGCACAGGCGCCAAAACACAGTAACTGCTCCTGAAAATGGTCTTCCAAAAGTATATACAGGGGGGGCAGCTCCTCACAGTCAAGGGAAATCGAAAATCTGATGGGGACCAAGCTATAGGAGCGCCTCCATGGTGTAAAATTGATTTATTAAGGATAAAACACAGCTGAAAAGTTACTTACAAACCAGCTTGTATAAACGAGTAGAAAGCGATATAATCTTAGGAGACCATCAAGATGAACACACGAAAATAGGGCGAGGGAAAGGAAGGGCTAGTACTAAGTGGATGCCATCTGCACGCTGACCCAACTTCAGTTGATGCGTCTCTGAGGACAAACCTCATCAGAACCTCAGTTGAAATAAGTTTGTCCTCAGAAACGCGTCAACTGAAGGAGGGTCAGCGTGCAGATGGCTTCGGCTTAGTACTAGCCCTTCCTTTCCCTCACCCTGTTTTCGTGTGTTCATCTTGATGGTCTCCTAAGATTATATCGCTTTCTGCTTGTTCATACAAGCTGGTTTGTAAGTAACTTTTCAGCTGTGTGTTGTATCCTTAATAAATCAATTTTACACTATGGAGGCGCTCCTTTTGCTTTGTCCCCATTGGGAAGATGTACAGGTACATTCTCCTGGAACAATGGGGCTATGGACCGAGGTTGTACAGGTACGTCCTCCAGGAACAATGTGACTACGGACCGAGCATGTACAGGTACGTCCTCCCGAAAAATGGTGCTAAGGACCCTGCATGTATAGCTACGTCCTCCAGGAACAATGGGGCTATGGACAGAGCATGTACAGGTGCGTCCTCCCGGAACAATGGAGTTACAGACCAAGGATGTACAGATACGGCCTCCCAAAACAATGGAGCTACGGACCAGCCCGTGATATGCAGTGGCCGCTCCGCAGGTGCTTAAACTGTATTTGCACCTTTGCAGTCAATTTTTTTTTACATAGAACACTTTAACCAGCTTCTATTGTTCAGAATATCTGTCCATGTGGAATTAGTGGACAGATTGGTTTAAAGTGTTTTAACACACAATGTAGATTACAATTGATGAGATCTGCTAGCACAGTATGGACAGGGTTAATTATAATAAACATAACTCCCCAGCCTCCTCCTTAACATTACATAGAAGTAGAAAGCTTCCAGCAATTTAAAAGGCAAGCACCAGGGGCAAGTATAAGGTCCTGATGGGGGTGACTTTACAGGTTCACTTTAAACTAAATGCCTTTATACCTAGAAGCCATATTTATATGAGACTTCCAGAGTTGTAATTGTCAGCGGGTTCAGGGCAAAGCTCTCTTTTGTATTCTTATCTTTGTGTATCACAGTGGTTTCTTGTCGTCCGGATGACGCCCTTGAGTGGGCTCTTCTAAGATCCTGAAAGTCTCAGAGACTCTTCTGTTGCCCACGTGGATTCTTCTTCCTAACATGCCGAGATATGAAAGTATTGCATTCCTCGGTGCTCCTGTCACCCAGTGGGGTGAGTCATAAGGATCTAATTCCCTCTCATTGTACACAGCGGTTAACCTGCTACTTCCCTGCATCGGGGACATGAGAACACTGTATGCTTGGATGGAGCACAGGTTGATTGTTCTATTTGGTAAATGATGTGTAACTGTGTACATACAATGCGGTAAAAAAGGGCGCTCAGTGTAACTCAGAGCAAATGAACCCACTGAACCAGAAGATCTTCACCATAAAAGGTTGTATATGCCAGATCAAATTGCATGGAGCGGATCGTGGTGAAGGCCTCTTCTATTAGATTAGAGCAGGGGTAGGCAACCTCGGCACTCCAGCTGTTGTGGAACTACAAGTAACATGAGGCATTGCAAGAATCTGAAAGCCACTTCCATGCCTCCTAGAGGCATAATGGGATTTGCAGTTACATGTCTCATATTTCTCAATCGCAACTAAAAAATCCTACATTCTGGGAAGGCAGAAGCCCCATTCATGTCCCACTAGAAATGTAAGATTTCCGCTTTATTCAGCGTGTGTGAATGACCGCAGCCAGCAGTGGCAGTTGTTAGATTAGTACTCTGTACAAATGAATAGCTAGTGCCGCCGCTGTTCGCATGTAATCGCTCATACGAACAGTTATAGGCAAAAGGGGCTTTGTCCGACCCTGGGCGCAGACTGTGTGCGCACTCACA